AGTTTACTAAATTTTAATCAAACGTCAATTTCGAGTTCAATACTTACGATTACTTGTATTAATTAGTTTTATAGATTTTTTTGGGGGGTTTATCCTGGCCTAAAGTGAATTCAAAGGAATAAATCAAAGAATCTCCAAAGAATACTCTAAAGGTTATTTATTCATTGCTAGCCCATAAAACTCTTCATGACTTGCTTCATAATTTATAATTTTTCTTCAGTTTGATTATGATTTAAAATGGTTTTATTTATCGTGTATCCAAGAAGGACATGAAGGAATGGTTACTCGAAGGAAACCAATCCATTCAAGTAAGAGATTCATTTCTTTGATCATCCACGAAATAAGTGGAGCTCCTCCATCTACCCTGCTAATTCTGACTGAAGAATGCCTTCAGCTAAGAAAGTTATTTAATGTGTAAGAAATGATGGAGTCGTTTCCGGTTGTTCAATTTAATGAATTGATATTGAATTTATTAATATTTTTCTTGGAAGTACTCATTCCATTTATTCCGACTTTCTCGTATCGGCAATACATTCACCCAATAAACCCGCCAAGGACTAAAATACTTTCTAAATGCTATATCATTGCTCCGAAGGCCTCTCCGAAGAGGACGCGACCGCAGATATGTCACCGGTCCTGCAGGATAACGCCAAGGAGGATCGGTTTTATTTTATGAGGCATAAAATAACCTCCGGGATGTCGGTTGTTACCTCTGTGGTGTTGGTCTTCCCTTTCGAATAATATTACTTAGGCATTCATTCTACAGACAAGGTAGGGCAAAGATGTTTGGGTAGAAATCAATTAAAAATATATGTACCTGATGAATATTTGTTTCACATTGTGAAAAAGGCCTTTAAAGAAAATAATACAATTTAAAATAATCACGCCATGGATAATTCATTGGCAAGATCAAACAATTATTGAAAAATAATGCTAGAGTAAATGATTATCTTTGATCTTGACTACGGCTCCTGCCTATTCTCTAACATTTTTTTTTTTTTTTTTTTTTTTTGTAGGCTGTACACATCCTGTAGTGTGTTAGCGAATAACAAACTTTAGGGAATATGAGCCAGCTTTCTTCATGTCTGCCTATCTTTGCCTATTGTTTTCCAGACTGCTTAATATAACTCTACATCTTTTTAGATTTTATCCGTCCGTTTAGATTTTGGCCTTCCAAGGATTTTTCCTCCTGCCTATGATTGACTTCTTGGTGGCTTGCTCGGAGCTACAAGACCCGATTTTTCTCCCTGCCTTTATGTCATGAGATATACATTGAGCGGTTTCTGTAAGCAATTCATAATCAACTCTTCTACACGCCCTATCCCTGATCGTTCCGTTAAGTTTGCCGAAGACTTTTCTCTCAAGTCTTTTAATTGTTCTTTATAGATTGCTCGTTTGTGTCCAGGTTTCACAGCCGTGTATCAGAACTGACTTTATCATAGAATTGTAAGTTGTGATTTCTAAACAATTTTCTGGATTTCATTACCTTAACACAGGGGTGCCCATCCCCTCCCTTCAAAAAAAAGATCGATGGCGCAATATCCTCCACCCAAGATATTTTATCGCTCACCTCTTTTTAAAAACAGAGCAAGTTAAGGTAGAATTAGAAAAATCATATACATTCACATTTGCTGCGGTATGTTCTATGTTTTCTCCTTGTCTCTTGGTCCAAAAATTCATAACATCTTAGAAATTTGCCTCTCCTATAAAATTAAAAAAACTTCAAAATATGCCGTCCTCTTTTTGCCGTCCAGAAGGAGGTTTAATGCAACCTGATATATGATTCAAAGATTCTTTAAGAAAGAGTCTTTTAAATCTGCGCTCACACCCCCTGGCCCGGGAAAATCCCGTATAGCCTTAACGGCGGGGAAGGGAAGGACCCCAAAAAAAAAAAATTGATAAAAAGATATTTAAAAATCTGCCATAACATAAACCTTTAAAAGAGCTTTGTATCACCAATGCGAACAAGAATAATTTATTGTTCAACAATTTGAGGTACATATTTCAGCTATATATTACTCTTATATTTAATGATTCATAACATTATAAGAACGATCACACTTCGCAACCCAAGAGTGTTGGAATACATGAGGAAGTTTAACTTAATAAACAGTCCAGTCGATTTTTTGCATACAGGCTTCCGGATTTGTATATGCGTGTGTGTAAATCGGAAAATAGTTGTGGTTCAATGGTGATGCCGCGCTGCGATATTGACACAAATAGAAGCCACATTTTGTAATATCCTTGTTTACCGTAAAAATTTCCTTTGTAAAGACTTTCTATGCTATTATGTTCATTACCTGTATTTAAATTTTGGATTTATTTGCTTTAATCGGTAATGAAAGTAATTGAAAAATATGTAGCCAAGACACTATTAAGCAACAGCCTAGAGAAAGGAAGCTATTAATGATTGGATGTTTCAAAACAAATAGTAAAAACTTAAGAATAGGTACTAAAACTGCTATTCGAGTACATAAAATAAATTATTTGAGGCTCCTAATTAAACCACTCTGAATTATATGACCTTTTATTAAAATTGCGTATACAGTAATATATTTTAATTTGTTGAGAAACGGAAAATTTCAAATTAAATAATAGCAATTAAACCCATTAAGCGGAATTCAACTGTTTCCCATCGGCTCGTTTATTCATTAACAGCTGAAAAAGGACACTTCATTATTTTTATAGACGGCGCAGGGAAGCCTGATAAAACGGGAGACAATCCTTTTCTCTTCCTCCCTGGATCAGATATCCTCGAGATCCTTCACAATATTGAGGCCATCAGATGTTTACCTTTTCCTTATTCGATAGCTGAAGGAATTGAAATGCTCAATAACAATGAAACTGCATCTAATTAAAATAATTTAATTACCTCTCCTCAAAGTGTTGATAGGTTAATTAATCTTTTTGACTACGGGTCTTCTTGAAGCTTACATCCTCCAAAAGTTCATTGAAAGGCTATGTTTCTCCAATTAGATGTTTAAAAGTTTTATCAATTACACGATTGATATTATTTTCGACTAGTGTTAAGTTAAAAGAATTATTTTAATGGGTTGCGTAATTCAAGTGACTGCATAACAGTCTAATTTAGTAACCAGATCGCTCGGACCCGCTTTCATTTCAGTTAAGAAATATTCACTACAATTATTCAACATTTATATAATTATTTTTTTTTCATGAAAAAGTAATTTTATTCATAAACATGGTTTCAATTTTGATTAACTAATTTTAAGAAACATTATGATTGAAGAATATTCAGTCGAAGTCAATGTACCCACTTTTGGAAAATTACAGAAAAATAATTAAGAGTACATCTGGTGTATACAAACCGACAATGAAAATCTTGATTTGTATAAATTATTGTCAACATGAGAATCGTCTGAAAAATCGTCCGAATCGGATCAGTTTTAGCATTGTTACAGTGTATTGAATTTTATAAACTAATTTTAATAATTTTTCATTTATTACATATTACATTGCTTTAGTCCATTAAAGAAACCGTACTCTAAAGATTTCTATAATCAGTTACTTGGAAAATTAGTCTAATTCGATTGTGTCATTTTTAATTAAAATATTTAAAATTGAAACAAATTGTTTAAAAACGGTAGGAAAGTCATGTGAGTTGACATGCAAGATTTTTTATTTAAATAATTGGTGGAATTGAATAGATTATGTTTAATTTACAACTCTTCCATAACAAGGTGGGGGCATATCACAACCTTTTTTGGCAATGTTTTTTAAAGTTAATTTTATTAATTTGGTTGGACTTTACTATATTTATGTCAATGCACAGGCGGATCTACAGAGGGGGGGGGGAAGCTTTCGGGCTGAAACCCCCCCAAAATGGTAAAATATAACCATGTTTTACAGAAACAAATACTAAAAACTATCTCTTATAGTATTCTTGTTCGTTTAATTACATTTGATAGGACTTCAAGAACCACTTAAATATCATTTCGTATAGGTAGTTAATTTCTTTCTTTTTTTTTTAATTAATCATTTTTATACTTATATGAAAAAAATTCTTTCGGGCTGAAGCCCCCCTCAAAATTAAATACTGCATTTTCTAGTGTTCTAGTCTTCTACTGGATTCTCAATGAAACATCTAAATGTTTAAATATAATAATTAGACAGGGATGATGGAAGGTTAAGATCTTAATAATATGATCCTCGGGATATTTGATGGGGATGTTGTTATTGTAGAAAATGGGGAAGAGGCAGTTGTACAAAGTATACTTGATGAAAATATGCAAACCGAATACTCTTACAATAGTTGCTCGGAAAATGAAAGCCTGTCAGCATTAAATATAGTGCATGAGTTCAGTGAAAATAATGTGGAGGGCGAAAAAATAAATACAAATAGTACCAAAAATTTGAATCGTAATGATACTAATAATACAGTCCGTGGTACAGACTCCTTTATATTAATAAAAAACTATACAATTAAAATTAATTGTTTCTATGAGTTGTGATCTGATTTTCATGGTCTAATTTTTAAAGAATAATAAGGTCACACGTTGTTGGGCGCCAAAATATAATAACTCAAAACTTTTACTAATAATAAAACTCCTGAAAGATCACTTCATATTGTAGTGATACTTTAGATCTAATCCTATTATGTAGCGTTTTTCAAAGATCTAAAGTAACATGTTTAATAAATAGCAATGAGCTGATAGGTAACTGCAAGACTCTTGCAGAAGAACAAGCACCAAAAACAAGTCTGAGTGTAAGTCTTGGATTTGGGCAACAATAATCATTACAATAATAGAATAACTTGTGCATTCTCTATATGATGGTAAACTATTCAAAAATAAAAATGATGTAATCTAATCATATTCATTTAGATATATTTTATTTTATTTAATTAATGGAGCAGCAATAAGCAATATCACTTTCCATCGGACTCCGCTTATAGAATCCAAAATGGAAAGTGCTCCGCTTTGTGCGGGGGTTGTCCAAGGCGAGCGGCCAGCCCACTCCCCGCAGGAAAGGTCAAGCCCTCAAACTGTATCAGCCTTTCTTGGAGGTTCTGAGTCAGTCCCTCTTGCGTGAGATTGCAGATAGTCTTGCGCTGTTTGTCTTACAGCTGTCGGTCGGGGTTGACTTATGGAAGGAGTTACAACTATTATCTTAGCCATTCCGAGACCGCGAAAAATAAACTCCAGGAGTCTGGAATCCTTCGTGCCTGAAGAACGAACCTATTGCCCTTGAATAGTGTAGGCCTAATATCTCAATTCATGTTTGATTAAACGATTGATTACAATACTCCATTCAATCCCACCTATTAAAGTAGATGCTATATTAGTTTTTGTAGTGAATATATGTAGAAGGAATCAATGAAAAGTTTGTATATTAATAATTCAAGTAGACAGTAATTGAGAATTCAAATATAAAAACAGAACTCACTCGCCATGTCCCTACGATTCTTCAAGAACCTGGACCACCTTTACAATAATTAAAATATGTTTGCCACTCTTGCGCTTGTCTCCTCCATGTCTGTACTGCTATAGATTTGAGTATATTCTCGACGTCGTCTACCAACCTATTACGTGGTCGCTCTCTTTGTCGTCGTCTTCCAAAATCATTTTGGGGAACCTGCTCTCAGCCATCCTTTCTGCATACCTCGCCCTCTCTATTTAATACTTATTTGTAAATGTCTCGAGATGTATTTCTTGGTACATGAGTCGAAGTTCTTCTTTCTTAACCTCCACCTTTCTTCACAGGTCCATATATCCTCTTGAGTACTTTTCGTTCCCATAACTTCAATTCAATGTCGTTGATAAAGACGACCTATATCTTGGAAAACGGTTATAAAAGCAAACGTAGTCAAGCTTAAACTCCAGGTTTATCCCCAATTCAACAAGAAATCAATCGTAATAATATAAAATCACGCTAATCTATGCATAATATATATCTTTTAATGTTGATATTCAATTTTCTATTTATTCAATATAATTAGTGACAGCATGAAATAATTATGGGTAATATAATTTTCGTTAACACAAGATAGAGTTGTAGATATGAGAAGCAATACTCAAAGTTCCACCACATTTTCTCATTAACCTCGGAATCATAATGTGGTCGGGAATCAAGTGTCATTGTTTTGGTTCAAGGATGTTCAGGGGAAATCTCATGAAAAGTATGCGTTACAAAGCATCTTGTATTTTTGTCTCCATTGTACGTATAATATCCACCTATTAAGAAATCTTAAAGCAATAGCAACATGCGTTCCACGTGGTTAATCATTGCGTTTTGTTATTCGCTATTATCTGTATAAATGTCTTTGTTAAAATAAAAAAATAATATAATCAAACCAATATACAGTTAATAATAACTGATTAATAGCAAAAGAAATATGCCGACTTTAATACTGAATGCTGTTAATATTAACTTATTTTATAACATCTGTATGTAGTTCAATATTTATTTTACCCAAGTTAGCATAAATTTGTTTTACTCAAGGCCCAAATAATTAAGAAATAGATTGACAATCTTTCAGCCATAAGAGAAAACGTGGAACGTGCGCCAGATCCGGTCTAACAAACGTCACTGTGAAGGAAGCCCTAGTAAATGTGGAGACGTGGTCTAGGCGAAGCTACAAGAGACTGACGAATGTCGACCAGGAACAGTAATTATCGATTAGTTTTAAACTCGATGAATGGACCGAAATAAACCGAACATCGATAACCAGGTGGCGGTGAAAGTGACACAAAGACTGTGTCCTGGTTACGAAACTCTCCAGGCCTTGGCATCTTAAAGCCGGCACACGTTTGCATTTAGTCAAATGAAAAATTTTATATTTTAGAAAAAAATATTTATGTTATGAAAAACATAATCCTGCGGTTATAATTATACTAAAAAATATATATTTTTTTCAAAATTATTGTAACTTTAAGCTCAAAAACTGAAAAAATATTTATTTATTTAAAAATTAATTAAAAACTATAGATATGGAAACTATTTAATGTTGATAAAATATTTTATCAAAACCTGACCAATTCAAATATTATTCAATAATGCATAAATTATGATAAATATAATTATTACAATGGGAAACTCCATTCAAAATTTAAGTGCAACGACCGTGAAATGTCTATTCAGCGAATTCATAATTATTCAATACTCATGTATAAATATAAACCGCTACGAACATTATAAAATTCGAGTTGAGAGGATGAGAAGACATTCATCATTTTTATTATAGCGACCCCTGACCGTACATACTCCTAAGACAACCATTTGAACCGGTCCACAATACGAGATGAGTATAATAATAAGGGCCGACAACAAGAGCAAGAAGTTGATGGGAGACGCCCACAATGAGAACAATAGGATCAGTGAAAGTGTGTGTCTGTCTGTCCATTCAATTACCTGCCTATTGTCGGCCCCTATATCCACACCGGTATATTTATACATATACAAGCCGCCATTCCTTGGCCTATATATCCTGTCTGCCTGCTCTTACTTTCTCAAATCTCTTCCATTCGCGTCATTGGCTAATATAGATCGTATCTAGTGTGCAATTTTATTTGCTCTGAATGGAAATTGGGTGATTAAAACCATTGGAACTATGAGGCGATATTGGTGTTTATCTGTATCCTCCAATCGACGACTTTCGTAATTCATGTGTTGTGTTGTAAGTAATATGTCACAAAATTAGATCACTTCATCGCAGGTATCATCGGTAGTTCTGACGGTGTTCATTTTGGGGGACGGTGTTCATCGAATCTAGTATTAGAAGATTCGCCAGTTAGCATCGCATCGGACAAGGTTCACTTTTATTTTTTGGAAGACTCGAGGACTAAATTATTTTGATGCCAGTCATTCTGACAAATGTCAACTTTGTATTAATTCTTTCTGCTCAACAACAAAAACAACTTGTTCCTTAGTTGTCTTCTTCTCATATTTCCAATGGTACTCCTTTTTTATTATTGTTATGCGGGCCTCTGTGGCCCCATCGGCGTTAGAGGGCCTCATTGAGGGACTTACCACGTTCCCTCCAGTTCATTATATTATTTCTAAGACATCCCTCATACATCTAGCATTAGTACCATCTGTTCACTCCTGAAATACTCCTTGTCGGTCTTCAAATTTATATACAACACCCATCCAACTACGGCTAACAATAAATATAAATAATTATTCGAACGGCGACCCAAAGAAACTCCATCCCTTCCTACATTCGTCTCTCCAATACCCTTCTCACCTTTAAATCCCGCCTAAATTGCAGATCTTCATGAGGGCTGAATAGAAAAACGTGTTGTCTGACACGTTGGCTTGTAACGTAGACTAAACATATATTCTTGGTTGAGCAATATGATGATATCTTATCCTCAAATCTTAGCTCACGTTATAAAACTTCACACATGTGGTGATTTTTTTTAAGTATCAAGATTATAAATCAAACAGACGAAAGGAGTATAGACCAAACAGGTGAATGTTTTATTGATATAAAGATTACAGAAGCTCCCAAAACTTGTCTGCGATTCCTAAAAAGGTACTGTAAAAGAATGGATTTTTTATAACTTCAAAATAAATAAAAAATGAAATCGTTGGAAAATTGTCATAATTATTACATAGACGTCTATTGAGATAATAAAGCCTTATAGATATGTGAGTCAGCAGTTCACTGATTGCTCCGCACTCCGCATTCGCCGAAGCCTAAATCCGTCCCCCAAAAGCCGCGGGACGCAGCCGTAGAGGGCAGGACAACCTTCACGGGCGATGGGCAGACTAAGTGCAGGACTGAGCACTTAACCGCAGGCACTTAGCTCGAGAGGTCGTTACCACTTTGCTTATCCGCTGGCCAATAATCGCTCAGTTTATTACTTTTGTAGGATCGTTTCTTCGTCGGCCATCGACTGGAGGCATCCAGCAAATTATGAGCATCAGTGTGCTTCATTACCGTCTCAGGGTGCCATTTACTGCTGTGTATAAATAAGTCCCTCAGAAAATTTTATTTCTACCGTAAAAACGTTTTAAAATTCCATTAATACCTTAAAAGAAGATTATATTCTTTTCCAAACACCTCAATAAGAGCCTTATTAATAATTAATAAAAACCTAGTTCTATAAATTATCTCAGCCATCCTCCATTATTTTCCTTACTGGATATTCTACACTTTCCATGTATACCTACCATTCTTAAAAAAATACAAATTTATATTTCTTTCCCTCCAACACGGACTTAAAAACCAGAACAAATTAAAAAAACTGTATATTTAACTCAAAAATAGCTTGCACTATTCCTGTATCAATCTAATTTTTATTACCTAACATTAACAATATGTAATCCTCACTATACGGAATCTAAAATTCAGTTTGTCTGAAGATAAGTTTTCCTATTCCTTTCTAACCAATGAAAAATATTAAAAAACATCCTACAAATATACAAATACATACTTCTTTATGTATTTTTTATTGAGCTCACATCCATCTTTCTTAGTATCGTCTTTTTTATCTTATGCTAAGTAATTCTGGTTTGGTATTTCAATATGGTATTGTATTAAGTGAAAATACAAATGTTACTATACAATACAAATACAAATCAAAATACCAACACTCTTATAAAAACATAACTATAGATATTTTTATTAAAAAACTAAAAATATTTACCAGAAAAACCGCTCTGGTAGTAATAATAGTATTTTGAAACTAAATAGCTCAGAATATTGTTTATATATATTTTTTTTTTTTTGTTTCTCATTAAAATTTCCGTGGTTCCATTTCAGTCATTATTAGTTAAATTTTGACTTTTTCCTACTTTTATGTTAATAATTTTAATTATTTTTTAAATTTAATAATTCATTCAATATTGATTTTTTCCATCCTTATAATTATTATTATTTTTTTAAGAATTTCTTCATTATTTATTTTTTTTTATCAAAATCAGTCTCTACGATATTATGACTACGTGCTTACCAAAGTACGAGCGGACAGATGGGATTGAGCAATTATGAAAATATTTACAAAGATTAAGGAAGATTTATTTTTTCGGTATCGATTTCATTAAAACCTTTTTTCTGAACTGAAATGTTAAGAAACTAGATGAACTCGATGAACACACATTTTTATCCTATTTATTTCTAAACTCATAAATATATTTATAAATTATAAAAAATAAATAAATTAGTGAACGGAAACTTTGAATTAATATAATATACAAATTAATTCAATATTCATATTATTTATTGATGCAGAAAGTGTAAGTAAACTCATTTTTATTTAAATAATCCATTATCATATGCAAGTATAATTATTGCAATATTATTTTACTCGTCCTTGCTTCTAAGATAAAGTTATACATCAAGTTATTTAAAAACAAAAAAAACTTTACTGTCTTTCAATTGATTTAAAACATACAATTTTGTAATTTTACGGTAGAATAAAATAAATTTTACTGTTCTAGGAATTATTTCATACACATTATAATATTATTAATTAGTTTTGAAATATAGTAATTGAATATGTAATATTTTAATCGTGCTGGAAATGTCTATACATAGAGATATGTTTATGCATATTCTAAGAGTACGTATTTTTTTAATGCTCTTGTAATTAGTGGTTTAGAATAATTAAAAATACTTTTTATACTGGTTCATTTGCCTAAT